ACAGTAAGAGGAGTATATACACATAGCGATTTATACAAATATTACAGGTTGTTGTAACACAAGTATTACAATGAGTTCGTGGATTTCAAACATTTCAAAATGTACAAAAGAGCAAATTTGATACATTTTGCAGTTCAAACACATAGAAAATGACTTGAGAAAGAAACTTATTGTTAACGTAACATTATTTACACTATAATCACAGGTAACAGACAGCATTATCAGGTAAATACACCGGAGGTGATATTATTACAAATATCGGCCCTAATAATCACATTATACGTCACAGTAGACATAAAATATGGACTTTTAGAACACAATCATATGATATAGTTATATACCAAAGTATATTGAATATTACAGATATATACCAAAGGCAGCGAAATATTACAGATATATACCAAAGTAGATTAAATATTACAGATATATACCAAAGTCAGTGAAATATTACAGATATATACCAAAGTCAGTGAAATATTACAGATATATACCAAAGTGGATGGAATATTACCGATATATACCAAAGTAGATGAAATATTACAGATATATACCAAAGTCAGTGAAATATTATAGATATATACCAAAGTCAGCGAAATATTACAGATATATACCAAAGTCAATGAAATATTACAGATATATACCAAAGTCAGTGAAATATTACAGATATACCAAAGTCAGTGAAATATTACAATTATATACCAAAGGCAGCGAAATATTACAGTTATATACCAAAGTGGATGGAATATCACAGTTATATACCAAAGACAGTGAAATATTACAGTTATATACCAAAGTGAATGGAATATTACAGTGATATACCAAAGTGGATGGAATATTACAGATATATACCAAAGTGGATGAAATATTACAGTTATATACCAAAGACAGTGAAATATTACAGTTATATACCAAAGTGGATGAAATATTACAGATATATACCAAAGTCAGTGAAATATTACAGATATATACCAAAGTCAGTGAAATATTACAGATATATACCAAAGTGGATGGAATACCGATATATACCAAAGTAGATGAAATATTACAGATATATACCAAAGTCAGTGAAATATTATAGATATATACCAAAGTCAGCGAAATATTACAGATATATACCAAAGTCAATGAAATATTACAGATATATACCAAAGTCAGTGAAATATTACAGATATATACCAAAGTCAGTGAAATATTACAATTATATACCAAAGGCAGCGAAATATTACAGTTATATACCAAAGTGGACGAAATATTACAATTATATACCAAAGACAGTGAAATATTACAATTATATACCAAAGTCAGTGAAATATTATTACAATTATATACCAAAGTGGATGAAATATTACAGATATATACCAAAGTGGATGAAATATTACAGTTATATACCAAAGTGGATGGAATATTACAGTTATATACCAAAGTGGATGAAATATTACAGATATATACCAAAGTCAGTGAAATATTACAGATATATACCAAAGTCAGTGAAATATTACAGATATATACCAAAGTGGAATGGAATATATACAAAGTAGATGAAATAGATATATTATATATACCAAAGTCAGGAAATATTACAATATATACCAAAGTCAGATATATACCAAAGTCAGTGAAATATTACAGATATATACCAAAGTCAGTGAAATATTACAATATATACCAAACAGAAATATTATATACCAAAGTGGATATTACAATTATATACCAAAGACAGAAATATTACAATTATATACCAAAGTCAGTGAAATATTACAATTATATACCAAAGTCAATGAAATATTACAGATATATACCAAAGTGGATGAAATATTACAGATATATACCAAAGTGGATGAAATAAATATTACAGAGTTATATACCAAAGTGGATGAAATATTACAGTTATATACCAAAGTGGATGGAATATTACAGTTATAAACCAAAGTGGATGAAATATTACAGATATATACCAAAGTGGATGAAATATTACAGATATATACCAAAGTGGATGAAATATTACAGATATATACCAAAGTCAGTGAAATATTACAGTTATATACCAAAGTCAGTGAAATATTACAATTATATACCAAAGTGGATGAAATATTACAGATATATACCAAAGTGAATGGAATATTACAGTTATATACCAAAGTGGATGAAATATTACAGATATATACCAAAGTGGATGAAATATTACAGTTATATACCAAAGTGGATGGAATATTACAGTTATATACCAAAGTGGATGGAATAACAGTGGATGGAATATTACAGTTATATACCAAAGTGGATGGAATATCACAGTTATATACCAAAGTGGATGGAATATTACAGTTATATACCAAAGTGAATGGAATATTACAGTGATATACCAAAGTGGATGGAATATTACAGTGATATACCAAAGTGGATGGAATATCACAGTTATATACCAAAGTGGATGGAATATTACAGTTATATACCAAAGTGGATGGAATATTACAGTTATATACCAAAGTCCATGAATATTACACTTATATACCAAAGTGGATGAAATATAACAGTTATCTTTTACCAGAGGCAATGATGTATTACAATTTAAATGCCACCCACATTCGACACTGGAACACTCATACACCAACGTCGACGAAGGAACACTGTTACTTCCTGCTGTCGACGTAAACCCACTTTCGTCGACATAATTCAAAAGCCTATTTAAAACACAGCAGACCAATAAACTATATTCTACTGTCGACGTGAGCATGTTTTCACATAAATCGCAATCACAAAAACAGCACATTCAAAGTTACAATGCAACACTTATTTCATAGGCTACATCAAACAAGATGATTTACGGTCCGCATTGAATTTATTAACGTCGATCGTTAAAAGTTCACTCCCACACAACAATCAAAAAGTACAACTACAGACCGGTCGGCATTAAAATGAACTTGCATATACTATTAAGTGCTAGATTACTTCTATAGATATGACCAACCCACGCAGATTGAATAGGGATAAAAAATATGGTTAAACGAAAGCATTTTCTCATTGAACATAGATTGTGTTCCAGAGTACTGTAAATGGTAAAATCAGTCGATTAATGATTCCGGCGATGCACATATATATAGGACTTGGACTGATATTTCAACATCTACAGATTGATATATCAGCTTTCTTGTCTCCAATTCAAACAGTTTATTGTTTAGATCATTTCGCTTTTAATTTTATAATTACTATTTCTATGACACAAAATGAGATTTTTTCCGCTAAGAGAATCGATTCCTCATAGCATTTTACAATCCTAGGCACCACGAGTACTAAATCACACTCTTAATTGATGGGGTGATGGTGCAACTGATTTCCCTCAGTCGCCTACCAAGGGTTTAAAATTTAGGCCCTTTGTAACACTGACGAGTTCTAGAAGGACGAAACACATGTATGGTACAGTTTAATTCATTATTTAGCTCTATTGTATCTAACGCTAAACTTTTTTTGTGTGTGTTAAAGTGTGCTGTTCATTTGTGTGTCTTCTGCACAATCTTAATCCTGTAATGATATCGATAGTTGTAAACGCCTTGACAAATCTTCGGCTATACTGAAGAATGTAACCATTATATAGACGGTATATAGACACGTTGAATTTGCTGGAAAGGTTAATTGATTTCAAGAGCAGTAAAATCAAAATTTTCCAAAACAAAGTTAAAAACATAGAATGAGGGAGATGTAATTACCCCATACTAGTATAAATATAGTAAATTATACACTGGACACTTCCAAAAGAACAAGCACGGAATCAATTTTTAACGAACTTAAACTAGACATGTATATGTACTTGTATCATTACGAAGTGATACAGTTTATTAACCTACAACCTTAAAGGTTTGTACAGAAAGACATACAACTGAACACATTTCAATACCATCCAAATATACTGCATATGACGGTAAATGAAATATACAATTTTCTATAGCTGTTTTAATTTAAAGGACTCCTCGTTGATGCAAGTGACCAAGAGTTTGGAATACTTGTCGGGCAAATGAATCGTTTTTTTTTTAATTTACATATCTTAATCACTTTTTGTCTAAATCTACAAGTCTTATTAAAACGCTTTTCATCTTTAAAGTTACAATTTTGCCAGAACATGTTTGATTTGTACCGTTTTTGAAATGTAACCAAACCAAACGTCTATAGAGGATGGACCATAAACGAACTATCTAAATGAAACTCTACAGCATTAGATTTAAATCTGTAGATAAAATAGGTTGTGTTAAATAGCGATCCAATTAAGCTTTGTGGTTTATGTAGCCCGCCACCGTGTTACTCATATGTTAAAGTTTCAGATAAGGAAATTAATACAATAGATAGCTGGTAAGGAATTTTGATATTTTGTGAATATTTTTAAAATGAAAAGTTTTTTTCAGATAGTTATTGGAAAATGATATTGTTAGGTACGGGAATTTCCCACCGTCCGACTGTCAATCTGTTATCTCAGTTTTTTTTATATATTTTTTTTCCACAGTTCTGAAATACCCACCGCAATGGGAATTTACCAACCCAAACTATTACACAACTACACAATTGTTTCCTAAGTTGTATCAGTGCTTTTTTAAAGTTTCGTAATCAGGCGAAATTGTCTTTGCGTGAATACAAAGTTATTTTCTGTGCTCCGACATTTTATATTGCTAGAGCACTGCCGTGTAGGTAATTCTCTCGTACTTCCATAGAACCTTCATATGATTGGATAATTAAAACACAGCAGTAAGAAACAACAAACATGAATTATACAAAATAATATGTACAAAATGATAGAATGTAATTATGTTAGTCACATAATTTGTTCCACAGAGTTATCCATCGCACCCTCCGTAACTAAGATTTTATACATCCTGAAAATAATTCAATGGTTGCTTATATAGCGATTAATTTTGGCATTTAAGTAGCATTGATTGTAAACAATGACGTTGTTAATAAATAAACGTAATTTAAATAAGTATTATAATACGAGATATCTAATGCCACACTTACCTGACGAATACATAGTTATCGTGGCGCTACATAAACCACTTCCGCTCCTGAAGTTTCCCGCCACCACCCGGTTGAGTCCAACATACACACTATAATCGACTGCTCCATAGAGAGGCTGTTGCCCTCGCAAAGTGTACAAGAAGCGAGATTTGATGTTATCCTTGTGCGGTCCAGATTTCCATTCTATTCGCTCATCACTGATGCTTATTTTTGTATTACTTCCTCTCCTAATAAAATTATCCACCGTCGTTATTAATAATCCACCGTTCGCTGAAGCATCCATGTGCCCGGGCAGATTATTTCCATAAATTCTAAATTGTTTATTATGAATTTGAGTTTCCGCCATATTGCTTGTTGTTCCGTTATCACCGCCATATCCATCTCCGGTTGGTGAGTCTGATATATCAAGTGTCCACAGCCTTGGAGGTTCTGAATAGTCCAATAAAATTTTTGCCTCTTTATATGGACCAGAAAAATCTAATTTAAGAACAACTTGTTTATCACATGACCTCCCTGGCCTCGTTGTGGGTTTATGTATGAATGAGATATGATTGCTAAATCCCCTGACAACACCACGACGAAGATCCAGATGTACTACATTGTCTTCTAAACGCTTGGCAAAACTTTCAATAATGGCAAAAACTGAAACAGAAAACGAGAAAAAAGAAAAACTGAAAAAAGTCCCGATATTTTTTTTTTATTATTATCATTATTATTAATTCGTTGACTTGATATAAATATGATCCATAAAAATACAAGAATCACATCCTACTCGGATATAAAACAAAAAGATCGATAGATATGACAGAATAAAGTAAACCCCATAAGACTTAAACATTCTGTATAGATGGTAATATTGGTGGGTTCGCGAGGAATTTAACTTAACGATATTCACAGTGATCAGAGATAAGACTAAACCATATACTCTGCAGACATTTTCACAATGTATCAATACATCAGGATATAAATATCATAAGTCTGACTAGTGTAATCTCAAACCAGCACAATTGCGAAATATTAGCCCGCGAAAATTTAAAGAAAAAGTATACGACACTTTCTATTTGTATAAGAATAGAAAAGGTAGCTTTGTGAAGTTACCAAGACGTTAAATGATTTCCTATATTCAATTCTGGGTCAATAGAGTCTCTCACTGGACCATACTTCCGGTCAGTTATCTTTATCTCTTTCAGGTAATCGATGGATAAATCACAGATTGATTACATACAAAGGGAAGCAGAGTTGTTGACGACTACACCAGATGGTACAAAAACAATGCTTGAATGTTTATTATGTAACACGTGATCGATTTCTGTCGTAAACAATGAATTATATTGCTGTACAGACTCAGAATGGTTTTATTTGTTTATTACTTGTTTTGTTTGTTTGTTTTATCGCCCCGTGAACAGTTAGGAATATTTCGAGGTGTGATCTCCTTGTCGAAGCTGATGGCTACCTCACCAAGGCCTATCACATCATCCTGAGCAATCAGAGTATTTTGCTCAAAAACACAATTACATAAGTACATTGTTAGAGAGAAAGCATTCCATTTTTGTAAACATGGCGACAAAGTAATGATGCATATGTAAAAAAAATATGTAATTGTTCTTGAAAGTTCTTTTATTGTAGGTAAAAGAAAACGACATTAACATATGCACCCTTGTCGCTATGGAACATTGAAAATATAAGAAAAGTATATAGATGATATGGATCAGATATATTACGTCACCTTTAAATACATAATAACACCAGACAGGGTTCACATCATGGTCACTGATGATAGACACAGGCTAAATGTATATGATCAAATGACATAATTCCCGGTGAAATTAACCCAATTCGGTGTGTAAATGGGAAGATCGGATCGACAGTGCAGTAAAGTTAGGTCGATTTCGTGGTCAAATCAACCACTTCCGGTGTGTAATGGGGAAGATCGGATCGACAGTGCAGTAAAGTTAGGTCGATTTCGTGGTCAAATCAACCACTTCCGGTGTGTAATGGGGAAGATCGGATCGACAGTGCAGTAAAGTTAGGTCGATTTCGTGGTCAAATCAACCACTTCCGGTGTGTAATTGGGAAGATCGGATCGACAGTGCAGTAAAGTTAGGTCGATTTCGTGGTCAAATCAACCACTTCCGGTGTGTAATTGGGAAGATCGGATCGACAGTGCAGTAAAGCTTGGTCGCTTTCGTGGTCAAATCAACCACTTCCGATGTGTAATTGGGAAGATTAAATTGACAGTGCAGTAAAGCTTGGTCGCTTTCGTGGTCAAATCAACCACTTCCGATGTGTAAGCGGGAAGATCGGATCGACAGTGCAGTAAAGCTTGGTCGCTTTCGTGGTCAAATCAACCACTTCCGATGTGAAAGTGCAAAGATTGACAGAAAAGGTAGGTTGTTTCTTTGCATTCAACCAGAAGGAAAAACGACTTTGGAATATTGCCAAAAATAGCAATAAAAACAAATAAGATGATGATTTGAAGGCGTCACTATCAGTAGTGATTGGCACCTGTATTATATATTAGTTTGAGCATCCGGTAAAATCAAGTTTTCAGGTTTTATTTCATTTTTTAATTTGTTAACGCTGATGATTTGAACCAAAACAAAAGCTAACAAACCACTGAAATGTAATATAGTAGATTACATTCCACTGTTTTTAGAGAAGTCTTGACGTTTCCTATCAATACGAGTATCCAGGACTTGTGCCACTCGTATCATTTTTTACTTAAAGCCTGACCTATCTTCCTCGTCATATAACACTAGTTCGCTGATGTGTACAGTATCATTGAAAACAATTGTCCTTCAAAGGGAGCCCTACACCAGCTTACAAGTGCACGTGTATGTCATAAAATGTAACAGAAAGCATATGGGTTGATAAATAATAGAAAAAAGTGTGTTTTTTCCTTCCAGACACGTGTTCAAGCGAACTACGATCTCATCAAAGCAAAACACACAAAGGGTAAGGATATGTGGAAAACTTCGACTGGATTTCGCGATCTGTTCCGGTCAATACACGCTGAACCTTATTAACTTTTATATATTGTTCCGTCTTGTATAATATGACAGTTACAATTTTCTTTTTGATTTCTTTTAAGATAAAGATTATACAAACCATACGGTGAAAGATTAGAATTGGCAACGTGTTAAGTTAAAAAATTTAGGACTTTGCCTATCTTCGTTTTATCCTGTTTCAAGTGCTTCTCGTAAATCACAAAACGGCATAAACAATGGTTGAGATTTCCTACAGCACTGCGTAAACAGGGGCTGTGAGGGGCTAAATTTGTTTCTAAACAAAAATTCCAACATCTTGATAAATTATGGGCCAGATGAAGATTTCTGACACAGTTTGTGTGTTTGTTAAAATCGTCTGTATGAGGACCAGTTATTTATAGCACTGTGCAGCAAATAAGTCATATACATGAATTGGTCGCAAACACAACTTTAAAGTGTAAAGTTACATGCTTAAGTTCTTTCTTTCTGTCTCTTCGGCTGATGTTAAGTAAGTATCTAAATATGTTTGAATATTTCTTTATACGAAAACATAGTACATTATACATAGCACTTTTTTATCGATATTTTGTATCTTGATAGTATAACCAAGGAAGCGTTTGTTAGTAGTGATTTCAGTGTGACTATGTCAAATAAATTATCCGTATTATGAAGAATTTAAGCGTATTACTTTGCTTTAATCAGTTCAAATCCACGCTCTTTCTTTGCTTTAATTAATAAAAACACACTATCTCTTCTTCTTTTTTTTCTTAAAAATTAATGAAAGCCCACTTTCTGTTTTGCTTTAAACATTAAAGGCAAGGCTCTACCTCGTTTTAATTGGTTAAAACCCATTCTGTACCTTGGTTTTATTGGTTAAAACCATTCTGTAAACCCATTTTGTACCTTGATTTAATGGTTAAACCCCATTCTTTACCTTGGCTTTATTGGTTAAAACCCATTCTGTACCTTGGTTTTATTGGTTAAAACCATTCTGTAAAGCCATTTTGTACCTTGATTTAATGGTTAAACCCCATTCTGTACCTTGGCTTTATTGGTTAAAACCCATTCTGTACCTTGGCTTTATTGGTTAAAACCCATTCTGTACCTTGATTTATTGGTTAAATCCTATGTTGTATCTTGGTTTTAATGGTTAAATCCTATGTTGTACCTTGGTTTTATTGGTTAAAACCCATTCTGTACCTTGGTTTTAATTAATTAAAAATCACACTTCATGTTTCCAGTGGCCGGAATACTCTTTAATATGTGATTTTTTATAATCCTGAAGATACGTTGAACTTTGAGATGACATTCTATCATGTCTCCTACGATATTAATTAGGACTTTTGTTAAGAGTACCATAGTGTATCTCATAGGATTAATTCATTATCGCCAAATATATTTTGGCCAATAGTGCCGCGATGAAGGTCAATATGAGTAATTAAATTAAAGGACACTCGCCACAAGAATTGCTTTATGAATAATGTGTATTGTAAAAACTAGTACAGCATGATGTCAGCAGTTGAGATCGAACGTGCGACAATATGTAAATTCGACTAACGTGATAATACATGTAACAATCTGATGTAGGACTAACGTCTTATCGTGTGTGCTATAGACACTGATGTAGGACTAATGTCTTATCGTGTGTGCTATAGACACTGATGTAGGACTAACGTCTTACCGTGTGTGCTATAGACACTACACTGATGTAGGACTAACGTCTTACCGTGTGTGCTATAGACACTGATGTAGGACTAACGTCTTATCGTGTGTGCTATAGACACTAATGTAGGACTAACGTCTTAACGTGTGTGCTATAGACACTGATGTAGTACTAACGTCTTATCGTGTGTGCTATAGACACTGATGTAGGACTAAAGTCTTATCGTGTGTGCTATAGACACTGATGTAGGACTAGCGTCTTATCGTGTGTGCTATAGACACTGATGTAGGACTAACGTCTTACCGTGTGTGCTATAGACACTGATGTAGGACTAACGTCTTACCGTGTGTGCTATAGACACTGATGTAGGACTAACGTCTTACCGTGTGTGCTGTAGACACTGATGTAGGACTAACCTCTTACCGTGTGTGCTATAGACACTGATGTAGGACTTACGTTTTACCATTTGTGTTATAGACACTGATGTAGGACTAACGTCTTACCGTGTGTGCTGTAGACACTGATGTAGGACTAACGTCTTACCGTGTGTGCTGTAGACACTTTTGTAGGACTAACGTCTTACCGTGTGTGCTATAGACACTGATGTAGGACTAACGTCTTACCGTGTGTGCTGTAGACATTGATGTAGGACTAACATCTTACCGTGTGTGCTGTAGACACTGATGTAGGACTAACGTCTTGCCGTGTGTTATAGACACTGATGTAATACTAGCGTCTTATCGTGTGTGCTATAGACACTGATGTAGGACTAACGTCTTACCATGTGTGCTATAGACACTGATGTAGGACTAACGTCTTATCGTGTGTGCTATAGACACTGATGTAGGACTAAAGTCTTACCGTGTGTGCTGTAGACACTGATGTAGGACTAACCTCTTACCGTGTGTGCTATAGACACTGATGTAGGACTAACGTTTTACCATTTGTGTTATAGACACTGATGTAGGACTAACGTCTTACCGTGTGTGCTA